GGAGGTAAAGGCCATATGAACCCAATGAATTCACAAAACTTCTCCTGCTTCCCCAGTACAGGCCCAGCCAGCCTCTCCTTGACCATGAGAGTCACCAGAACCCAAGTGTAGCTAAAAGTCACAGAGCTACAAGAGTGCTGGGGAAGGATGCATCCAATTCCTTTATTTTACAGAAGGGGAAGCAGACCAGGAAGGGTTAAATGACTGAATGATCCATCAGCATCCAGGAGAGTTCCTCTGTGTTCCAAGCGACAGAATGTTAAGCACAAATATAGTTTTTAACGGATAGCTCTCATAATCCGCCCCCCAAAAAAAATAAACCTCCCAAAAAATACAGTAAAGCAAGAAAACACCCAGAGCTCAAGAGGGACAGAAAGCAGACGGTCCCTCTGGCTGCCCTTACCGGGTGGATGGACTTTTCTTCCATGTGTGACCCCTCTCAAAATTCAAACCCCAGGGGTGGGGACCTCCCAGGCATGGCATCCAACCGAGACCACAAAGAGTCACTTGAAAGAAAAGACCAGGGACAAAGAGTGCTGGATCCAGAGGCAGTGAGTCCGGGCGTGAATTCCCACTAGACCTCTTCCTACCAGCTGTGTGACCTTCGGCAGGTTACTTACCTCTCTCTGCCCCTCCTCTGCGCACGCTTTCTCTCTCTCTCAAAATAAATAAACATTAACAAAAAATTAAGACCTAAGAGACAGGCACAAAGTTGGTAGAGACGAAGCCAAGCCCAGCTGTCCTGCTAGGAAGAGCCAAGCCCAGATGGGCATCCCCTGGGCTCAGCTTCCTTCACAACATCTCACACTCCAGGAAGCAGAGCCAGCCCAGGGGAGAGCACCCCCAGGGTAACCGCAGCCTCCCAGGGAATTAGAAGAGAATTTGCATTCCTGCATGGAAACCTGATACAGAGGAGGAATGGACTTGGGACCCGGGCCACTGTGAATTCACTTGAACGCTCTCCCACTTACCAATTACCAATCCCTCCGAACCTTATTCTTCTAACCTGTAAAATGGGTAGAGCACCGCGTCTGCAGGAGAATCGCGAGGCCTCCAAAGTAGTTGTGAAACGCCAGCACTCTCTTAGACACGCTTAACCTCCTTCACACCTGAGGCCAATGCCTGGCCCAAACTCTCCACGCCCCACTCCTGCACGCCTGTCCTTGGGGGTCACTCACGCACCCATTCGCGTCAGGGCACTGGGCTCCGGAGAGGGAGCACCCACGTGGAGTCCGCACCCCAGGCGCCCAGAACAGCTCGTGGAGAGTAAGCGTTAGCGAGCCATCACGTTCCTTGACCTTCCGGTCTGCTCAGTCACTCCCAGGCCACGGTACCCATTGCTTAAAGCTGTGCTACCTCTGGATTTCTAATTCGGGCCGCCCTCTAGAACGACAACCTTCCAGCTTCTCCTCAAAGTGCGACCCGAGGGGCCCAGGGCCTGGCATCACACGGGAGCTTGTTCAAAGGCAGAGACTGAGGTCCCCGTCCCACGCTCACTACATCGCATCTGCATTTACTAAGATTCCCCGGGTGACTCCTGTGCACATTACAGCTCGCCAAGCACCCGTATCTCTCCCCCCACCCAGCTACCCCACTGGATTCCTAACCCCGGCCTGCGGGGCCCCTGAGCATCCCACAGCCTCTCTTCCCGTCAGCCCCGGCCTCTTGACCCCACTGAAACCACACTGAAACCCTTGCGCCACCGCCCACACCTTCCTGGTGCCTTCATTCCGCCCACAGGGACCTCAACTCTGGATGAACCCCCCGGCAGCTGGTCCCGCGTGCCGAGGTGGCCGCCGAGCGCAGCTGGAGAAGCCACCCAGTCCGCACGCTGACCCCACTTCCTGCAGCTGTGGACACGCTGTGCCTCTGGCTCCACTGGGAAAACAGAACTGATCAGACGGCATCGCCGAGGACATCCCGCTGCAAACCTAGACCCCAGCACCTGCCCGCCCTCCTCCTCGGCCTCTGAAGAGCCGGAAGGAAAGCCCTATCCCTCCACCGGGGCTCCCGACGACCCCCCACCGACCTGTGCTGGGACCTGCCCGTGCCTAACGTCCGCGGACAGGGCGCGCAGATGGCTCAGTCCATTAGGCCTCCAACTTCGGCTCAGGTCACCATCTCACGGTTCGTGGGTTCGAGCCCTGCGTGGGGCTCTGGGCTGACAGCTCAGAGCCTGGAGCCTGCCTCGGATTCTGGGTCTCCCTCTCTCTCTGCCCCTCCCCTGCTCATGCTCTGTCTCTCCGTGTCTCAAAAACAAATGAACGTGAAAAAAACTTTAAAGCCCACAGACAGAAGTATGTAGAGTGAGAAGGAGACCGTGGACCCTACACCCCTCGGCTAACTCCCTCCTCTGCTGAGCCCAACTTCTCAGTCAAGGGTCTGCACCGGATGTCTTCCTCTTCCGGCCCCCAAGTCCCCTCCCCTGCTGTTCAAACTGGGCTTCTGTCCCCAGAGCCCCACGGGAACTGCTCCTGCTGAGGTCCTGACACCTGTCTGCGACACCAGTCTGCAGCGACACCCAGCATATGGTCTCCGGCATGTGCTCACTAGATTACTCCTCAGCACGGGCACAGCCTGATGCCTGGGCTTCTCTTTACCCCTCTCAGGTCATGGCCAGCTGTGTGCCCGCTCCCGCTGCCTGCCTCCCGTGGTCTCCCACGACCACGCTCATCCCCGGCCGCGCCACACCCGGACCTCTCTGGGGTCAGATCTACCCATCCCGCCCCACCTGGATGCCCCTCCGACCGTAGAGCTCAGCACATCCTCCCCTACACTTGTGGTCTTCCTTCCAGGATCTGCTCCCCGTCCGGCAGTCTGCACGCAGGGGTGCACCCGGCCAGCCACAGTTCCCCAGCCGGAGCCCCCGGCATCGCCGCCTTTCGTCCCTACTCATCCTTCGCCCAGTTCAATACCGTTCCAAACGTCCCGTAACCCGTTCACTTCTGTCCATCTCCGCTGCGCGGACTCTGCTCAGGCCGCCAGCATCGTGCTCCTGTTCCAGGAGCACCGGCCTCCTAACACTCTCGCCCCAGCCACTGCCTGTGTGGGTCCTGGATGCTCAGGGACCCATGTGTTACCGTATCCCCTCTCTGGGTGGCCCTGCAGGAAGACGCTGGTCCCTGCCTCCACCTGGGCGTCACCTGACTGCCTCTGCTCCCCATCTAGCCACGCTGGCCTTCCACTGGCCTCCCAAGGGGGCGGTCCCACTACCCCCCTGCTCCAGATGCTCCTGCCCCGACCCCCTCCTTTCTCTACCTCCACCTTGTTCACACCTACTCACCCTTCGGATCCCAACCCTTTAAAGGACTTCCCGAAGGAAGTTCATTCTACGCTCAGAAAGGTCTCCCTGTCATATGCTCTCACAGCGGTGCCACATTTCATACCAACACCTGTCACAGCTTTAATTATTGCTCAGATTACACGCTCTTGGGGCACCCGGGGGGCTCAGTCGGTCAGGCGTCCGACTTCGGCTCAGGTCATGATCTTATACTTCCTGGGTTCGAGCCCAGCGTCGGGCTCTGTGCTGACGGCTCAGAGCCTAGAACTTGCTTCAGATTCCTCATCTCCCTCTCTCTCTGCCCTTCCCCTGCTCGCACGCTGTCTCTCCCTGTCTCAAAAATAAATAAATGTTAAAAAAACAATTCCAATTACACACTCTCACCACCCCCACCAGACTGTGAGGGGCCTGGGAGCAGGGACCACATCTGTCCTATTCACTGCCACATTTCCCAGTGCCTGGCGCAAAGCAGGGGTTCAAGTATCTGCTGAGTAATGACGGCAGGAAGCACAGCCCTTCCCCACCCCCTCTCCGGATGGGAAAATTCGGGAGATTAGGAGGCAAAAGGCTGCTGCTACAGCCTATAAAACTGGTTCTAAAAATTCACGTCTGCCTCTTTATTCCTGCGCCCGGCCACGTAACTGACACATCCTTCCCATTGAACCGTCACATCCTGGAAGGAAAGTACCTGAAAACCTGTTGTCTGCAGCTCACCTCGACCCATTTCAAACACATCTGCTAGTTCATTCCCAACTTACCTGTCAAAACAAAGACAAGCAAGAAGAGAGAAGCTCCCAGTGGAACAGTTTAGAAGCGCCGACATCCTGCCTCCCGCCTACTGTGTTCAAAGAACTTCTTCACTCGCTAATTCGCCGCAGACAGTGGGTTCCAGATCTGATAACCACCCCCTCCCCCCAGCAGGCTGGGAGTGTCAGCACCTCCAGTAACGGAGGCAGGGTGAGCAAACTCCGCTTTCATAAATGATTTCAGCTCTCCCATGGCTTTCTGGATCTTGAGTCTGCCCTTGACTGGATGCCAACAAGGCAACACTAAACCAAACAATTTAGAAAGAGTGGGTCGGGGGACTGTTGAGGCAGACTTTGTACAAAACACAGAAGTAACCTCATGTTATTATTTTAGTGACAATTAATAGAAAATTTAAACATAAGGGAACCTATATTCTAAAGCAAAGGCATAGAGGGGCGCCTGGGTGGCTCAGTCGGTTAAGCGACTGACTTCGGTTCAGGTCACGATGTCGCAGTCTGTGAGTTCAAACCCCACGTTGGGCTCTGTGCTGACAGCTCGGAGCCTGGAGCCTGCTTCAGATTCTGTGTCTCCCTCTCTCTCACTCCCACTCACGCTCTCTCTCTCTCAAAAGTAAATAAAAAATTTAAAAATTAAAAAAAAAATAATAGAGGCACCTGGGTGGCTCAGTTGGTTCAGTGTCCAACTCTTGATTTCAGCTCAGGTCATGATCTCACAGATCGTGACTTCGAGCCCCTCGACAGGCTCTGTGCTGACAATATGGAGCCTGCTTGAGATTCTCTCTCTCCCTCTCTCTCTCTCTCTCTGTCTCTGTCTCTGTCTCAAAATAAATAAACATTAAAAAAAAAAAACCCAAAGGCATAATCAAAGGTCAAGTCAAAGAGAGGAAACTTTTTCCTTCTTTAAACAAACAAAAAAAAAAAAAATAGCTTGTTTTTCTTTCTTGAAATTTCAGATCAAATGAGATTTGCTTTTGGAGAAGTGCAGGCTCAGCGGACACAGAGGCATCACTCATCTATGAAAGAACTCCACGCAGCATTTTGCCAAACGGCTCAGAGTTTCAGGATAAAGAGAAACCCCGGGGACGGAGCCTTTCCAGCCAAAATCAGCTTTGGCACAAAAGCAGGAAGTGAGAAGTCCACGTGCTCGGGCACAAACACCTGCTACCCGGCCACCACTTCCACAGCAAGTCCAGGCTCTGTGAGCAGCGCTGCGGCCCCCGGGCCTCGGGGAGGACGAGCAAACCGTAAGTGCCCCCCAGCCTCACTGCTCCCGGCCACTCCCGAGCTCTCCCCCGTCCCCCCTGTGCCAGGAACAGGTAGGGCGCCCCAGTCTGGCATCACCACTTGGCGGCGTGGGGAAGGGCCTCCCCGTCTTATTTCCAAAACTCATCAACTCCCCCCCACCCTCAAGGCAGCAAACCACGGTCAAGCCCCACGCACGTGGCCCCTGCCACCTTAGGACAAACACAGAGCAGCGGCAGCCTGGCCCCAAACCCAGGGCGTCCTCTTCCGCCTCGTGCCAGGGGGCTGGCGTGCCCGCACAGGGCTGGCTGCTCTGCGGACGGGCCCGCCACCGTCCCAGTCCCTCGTCCTCCCCCTCCCCCCAGTGGTCCACGTCCGGCCCCTGGGGCCCCGGTTCAAACGCCCCCCCACCCGTGCAGCCCCTCAACAGCGGGAAGGAGGGGGACAGATGCACTTTTAGAGCAAGCCAGAAAGCAGAGCCTGAAACCAGAGTAAGCCCAGGGAGGAAGGGGTGAGGCAGGCTCACGCTGCAAGATGCGTGTTTGGGTTTCTCTTGCGAAACGAATTTCCATTATGTTAGCACTGCTCGCTTCCAGAAAACAGAATTCTCTTGTAAATGCACCACCCGATCCCATTCTGTGTGTGTCTGTGTGTAGCACTGATCATAATTATCGTTAACTACTGGAGTATTTTTTTCACTCATTCCTGAACCAATTGTCGAGTGCCTACCTCGTGTGAGACGCCAAGATCAAAAAGGCAGAAAGCCCTGCCTTCAAGCAGCTTCTATTGCACTGAGAGGGAGCAGACTATACAGAAATAAATGCATGAAACATAGGGACACAACACCAGGTGACGATAAGCATTATGGAGAAAAAGACAGTTAGGAAAGGGAACAGAGATTGCCGTGTGGGGACTGGGGAGTGGGGGTGGCAGGTGGCATTTGTAAACAGTTTGGTGACACCTCCTTATGAAGTGACAGAGAATAGGTCTAGAGGAAGTGAAGCGATGAGCCACATTGTTGTCTCCCGCAAGAGTGATCCAGGCACGGGGCGCCTGGGTGGCTCAGTCGGTTGAGCGTCCGACTTCGGCTCAGGTCACGATCTCGCGGTTCGTGGGTTCGAGCCCCGCGTTGGCTCTACGCTGACCACTCGGAGCCTGGAGCCTGCTTCGGATTCTGTGTCTCCTCCTCTCTCTGCCCCTCCCATGCTCATGCTCTGTCTCTCTCTGTCTCTCAATAATAAACGTTAAAAAAATTTTAAAACCAATTTGGGTGAGGGGCGCCTGGGTGGCTCAGCTGGCTGGGCGTCCGACTTTGGCTCAGGTCATGATCTCGCGGTTCATGGGTTTGAGCCCCGCATCGGGCTCTGTGCTGACAGCTCAGGGCCTGGAGCCTGCTTGGGATTCTGTGTCTCCCTCTCTCTCTGCCCCTCCCCTGCTCCTCCTCCCTCAAAATTAAATAAATATTTAAAAAATTAAAAAAACAAAAAGAGTAGTCCAGGCAGAGGAAACAGCAAAAGCAAAGGCCCTGAGGCGAGAATATGCCTACAGGAGAAGAAGGATAAAGAGCCCACTGTGCCCTGCAGAGAGTAAGCATGGGTGAGGTCAGAGGGGTAACAAGGAGTGAGGGGCCACGAGAGCTGAGAGGCCTTGCAGGCCACCACCACACGTTATCTTTTACTTGGAATAGAAACGACTGGACGGTCTGGAGCACAAGACCAACATGACCAGACAATGCAAGCGAGCTCTCGGACTTCCATGTCGAGAAGAGACGGGGAAGCGAGTAAGAGGGCAAGAGGGAGGCAGGAAACCCGGCCAGGATGCGACTGCAGTAAATCACGAGGGATGATCGTGGTTGGGACCACCACTCCCTGGGAGTGGTGGCTGACAAGTGGCTGCATCCCGGACATCCTTTGATGGTAGAGCCCAAGTGGACTTGTGGATAAGTGAAATTGGAATATAAGGGGTTAGTTATTTTGCTAAAAGTAAGAGTTTGGTTATACTCATGAAATAATTACATAACAACTCGGGGCGGTCCATGATGAAGTGACTACTAGCTTGGTCCAGGTAATACGTTACCTAGTAAAGAAAAAAATATTTACGGAAGACGTGCAACTGGGGAGCCAAGAACTGGTTCCAGGATTTTCCAAGTAGAGAAACGAATCCATGTTGTTCTGGAGTGAGCTGTGCTTTCTTCAATAATTTCAAGCATACAGTTAAAATGGAATAACATTACGCCAAAGATTCTATTTGAATTCTAAAACACAGCTTCGGGAAGGAGGAGGATGGGGATGTTTTTTTGCCATTGCTCAGGGCTTCTCTAAGATAGCTCACGCTGTCTCATAGAACCTTCTAGAAATGTCTTACATGTGGTCTCTCCAACATAGTAACCACGTGTGGCTGCTAAGCACTTAAAATGTGACTAATGTGACTGAGTCACTGAAATTTTAGGCAACTCTCATTAATTTTAAATAAAATAGCTACTTGTGGCTAGTGGCCATACTGATTAGCTACATTGCTAAAGAAAAAAAAAATCACTCTACATCCATAAACTATACGTTACACTTTTTCTCTTGTGATTAAACTAAAAGGATATGTACAACTTCGATTTGTAAGACCGTACTTTTCATTATGCCGCAGAGCGAGCATCTACTTCTACTTCTGCACATATTTGAAAACACACAGTGAATGGACTGGTCTTAACAGGTTTCAAACATAATTTCTTAGTTTTTGTTTGCAATTCTTTAATATCTTCTAGGCCATCACTCTGTCAATGACATTCAAAATGAGATCTCCCCCCCCGAAGCATATTCAATGCGGACATTTCAAAGGCCACAGAAAAATAAAGACAGGATGTTCTTTTTTGTTTTTTTTGTTTGTTTGTTTGTTTTTCAACGTTTATTTATTTTGGGGACAGAGAGAGACAGAGCATGAACGGGGGAGGGGCAGAGAGAGAGGGAGACACAGAATCGGAAACAGGCTCCAGGCTCTGAGCCATCAGCCCAGAGCCCGACGCGGGGCTCGAACTCACGGACCGCGAGATCGTGACCTGGCTGAAGTCGGACGCTTAACCGACTGCGCCACCCAGGCGCCCCCAGGATGTTCTTATTATAACTGAACTACTACTCGGATCGAGGCACTTGATGGCATCCGTCAGCCCATTCTTCCTCCCCAGATCACATTGAGGGAAGGGGCTGCTGTGAGTAACACCATTTTTCAGATGACGAAATCAAGGCAGAGAGAGATTAACGGCAGTCCTAAATTTTACAGTGTAAATCTTTTTTTTTTTAAGTTTTTATTTATTTATCTTGAGAGTGGGGGGAAGGGAGAGGGAGAGAGCAAGAGAGAACACCCATCCCAAGCAGGCTCCATACTGTCTGCACGGAACCCGATGGGGGGGCTCGAACGCATGACAGTGAGATCACGACCTGAGCTGAAATCAAGAGCCAGACGCTTCCCTGAGCCGCCCAGGAGCCCCTTACAGTGTATCTTTATAGGTTGGTCGGGAAAGAAGAGCAGGAATTGGGAAGACAAATAACAGGGAAAGCAGTTGGGGGAGGGAAAGAAAGCAAAAAAAAAAAAAACTAGACGCAAATCCTTCGTTCCCAAATCCTAGTTGAGTTGGCAGAACCGTTCTGGAAAATGCCGTCTGCACGAGCGCAGTACTGCTCTTGGAGCCGTGTCTCAGACCTTTCACGTGCCCCAACAAGGCCCCCCGAGGTCTGGCCAGAGCCTGGCCCCCCATCTGGATGGTGACAGCCACGCACCGGCTAGGCTGGGGCTCGATGAGCGAGGTGGCCCCCGCGTGCATGAGGGGGTTCCCTTATCCGCCAGCAAACAGACCCAAATGACAGGGACACATTCCTGACTAATCTCCTCAGCCAACAGCTGGAGAATGAGCTCTCAGTTAATCCTGCTTTTGAACCACTCACGCTAACCCCCAGTGATACCACTAAACTGCACGGCCCAGGAGATTAACATGGCAATTCAATCAGTTTAGAGCTGCCCTTCGAAGCTGTCAGTGAAATTCCTTCATTTTGAGAATGAGGAAACAAAGTCCCAGGAACACTGATGCTTTCAAAAGAACGCAATTCTGCTCATTTTCCAAGCCAGCAAGCCTGAGTGCCTGCGTTACCTAAAACTGACCGATGGTGCCGCGTCTCTCTACCTTTTAACTACTGTGTGTTTCTAGAAACTATAGGATTAGAGGATCATCGTCTTTATATCTACGTGTATGTGTGTGCATATACGTGAAATACTGCATGACGAACCATAGGACGCTGTTATATTTATGGAACACAATTATATATATATATATACATTACACATATAATTTAATACAGTGTAATTTCCCCCATAGGAAGGATATTAAAATCCGTGACGACATCCCTCAACACTATTAAATCAGAGCTGAGGCCCAACAACATAAAAGCAAAGATAAAAACCAACATGAGCCGTTAAGATAATTTAAAATTGAGTACGTGTCGGTTCCTGTGAACGAGGCAAAAATATACCAATTATATTTGGGGCCAAGAGTATATTCGCTATTTGGGCAATGTATAAAATGAGAACCGTATCATCAATCGTGGAATTCGTGCTTCTTGCAAATTTAGAAGGGCTTCCTAAGGATGGCTCGGGCAGTGTGGTCTTTGAAAACGCATTCTGGGCAAGTCTGAGCTGCTGGGCTCTGTTAGTGAGCAGGCACGTTTAACCACTGCCCAACCTGAGCGATAACTCAACATGCCATACACAGGCGGGGGCATTTTACACGCCGCTTGAGGACAACGACGATGCTGTTTTCTTTTTTCTCTTTCAAGTTTATTTATTTTTGAGAGAGAGTGAGAGAGCGCGCACGCACACGGGAGGGGCAGAGAGAGAGGGAGAGACAGAATCTCAAGCAGCTTCTGCGCTATCAGCAAAGAGCCTGATGCGGGGCTCGAACTCAGAACCGAGAGATCGCCACCTGAGCCGAAGTCAAGAGTCAGACGCTCGACTGACTGAGCCG